TAAATGTTAATACAACTGTTTTATATATAATCCCAAACATATGATATAAAATCCCCTCTACCAAAAAACTTAAATTGGGTAACGCCGGTTTGAATTTTTACAATTGAGCAATTGTCAAAAATCTTCATTTTTATCAAAAAGTTATTTACCAGGGTGGCTTTGAACTAATGATTGGTACTGAGTTAAAGAATGCACACACATAAAAGATTGCAGCCTTTTCAATACTCATTCAGTGTTAAACCTTTTTTTGATTGGGCATTGGTTTTTTCAATCTTGCTATGAATATGTTGATGTGTGAATTCATAACTGCTTTGAGAGAATGGAAAATTCAAAAATTTTAAACCTCAATCCTAAGCGAAGAATAAGTAATGAAAACTGGATAGAAAAAAATTGTTGATTTAAAATTGAAAATGATTTCACACTTACACAGCTCTGGTAGATACCAACTCACATACATATGTATTTCCTTAGTACGGATAAGTGTATTCCTTGCTAACTTCTTCAGCTGGGCGCCGCAAGCCCATACGCCCCACATCGTTTTGTGCATGACTTTCCCTTCTAAAAATTTACTCATGTAAATATGTTTGCATGCAATTACACAGTGAGAGTTCGCGCTTTGATATTCTTATCGATTTACATACGCTTGCTTATGGCTTTGTGCCACTTTTTGTTACAAACTCCAAGCAAAACTCCTACGCTTTACATACGTATTTTGTGCTTTCTTGTGGGCTATAAATACATACATATATCATGTGTGCATGGCATGCGAACAAGGTGCCATGGCAAGCTGCGCAAGTGTACACTACATAAAACAATACTGCTTGTGCTTACATACATAAGTTTACATTTTAGTAAACGTTGGAAATTTGTGTGTGCTCTCTTGTCTGTATTGCTTTGTTGTGGCATAGATAGTACGAGTATTGTTAGTTATTTGGTACAACTTGTTTCGATGGCCAATATTTTTTCCGCTGAAGGCAACATAATAAAGCTCATGGCAAACAAAAAAACAAAAATACAAAAAAGAAGGACGATAACGCTTTGCTCAAAATGTCTCAAGTTATTTTTATAATATTTGCTGTAGCATGCTTTTAGGCGTCTGTTGCTGGGTTTATTTTTCTTTCTTTCCCCTTCTCTACTTTGTCATACTTTATGGCGTTTTACATGACTATTACTTATGCTATACTCCATCTCACTTAAACTATTGCAGTGCTACTTTGATGTTAGTGTAGTTGTGTTTGTATATACGATGTATGTACATATGTATTTGTGTAGAATTTTTTTCTTTGCTCCAAGCAAGCAACGTTCGTCTTTGCTTGGCAACATTCCAGTTTCAGTGTTCAGTTTAGTGTAAGCTTATGTGCGATTGTGTGTATAATTTTTACAAGTATGTACTTTTTGGCGTAGTTTTGTGGTCACAAGGTTTCTCTTGAATGCGGGTAAAAAGAAAATACTACCAAGTTGGGCATTGGGAGAAAACACAAAAAAAAAATATTTTCGGTAATGCAATTTTTAAGGAATATTCATTCGAGTTGGCAGCAGGCATTGACTATAAAAAATTTAAATAGAAAGAAATAAAAATTAAATTCTCTTAAAATTTGTATACATATGTACCTACAAAAAAATTTCCCTTTGTATTGAGAATGGCCAAATATATTTTGGAAAATTTAACTTTTTTGTATATTCGATTGTACTTGGTCTGTGTCCGTCAGTTAAAGTAACTCAAGTCGAGATAAGCCGGTTTACCTTTGAAGCAATATTTTATTGGGCTTCTAATAATATCTTAACGATTTACTAGCCAAAGGTGTAGCTTAAAATGCCTCTTTAATAAAAACTGAATAAAAATATGCAACTTTTCCAGGGAAACTTATTAAATTTCTATTAGGGTCAAATCTTCTAAAGTCACCTAAGCTATTTTAACTAACGCGCACAATTATAATCATAAAGGGGTTAGATAAAAGTATTTGTTCATAAAGTCCTCATAGTTAGAAATTCATTTGACTTCGAGGTGGCCTTGGAAATTAATACTACTATCAAATAGCATCTCCCAAAAATAGTTTTCCTTGAACTCTTCTCTGGATTATCGTCGCCAAGATTTACTGGCTAAGTGGAAGTAGAGAAGGAGCTGCTGGTTAATTGTACATGTAGATGACGTAAACGCCAGATCTTAAAATTACCCATCTTATTGGGAGTCGCTGGAGATGGAGTAGGCTCAATGGGCTACTGTTTTTGTAATCAGTGGTATACTTCGGATCACTACCACCCTAGCACTTAATGTCATGGAAATTATACATGGAGTCGTTATCTATGTGTGCTTTTAGTTAGTTAATAAATTGGGTGAATCAAGGATACGGCAACTTAGAACCAAAGTTTTTCGTAAGACAATTGTCAATTCTGGCAACTGTCTTAAAAGCTATATTATGTCTTCCAAAAGACTGATTAAAAGATCTGCTAACGAAGAGGTCTTAGCGTAATTCTGTTTGTCTTTTATCAATAAGTTTTCTAAAAATTGAATGAAATTAAACCAAAAGTTATATGTATGAGATTTTTTTTTTCAACATTAAAAATTAAAAATTAAGAGAAAATGAAATAAAGAAAAAAAACATTATATTAGAAAAAAGGAAAAAAATATAAAATAGGTTTCTAAAAATTAAATACTATTAAAAAATATGTTTCTTTTTAAAATAATGACATCTAAAAAGTTATGCTTTTTAAACAATAAAATCTAAAAATGAAATAAAAAGAAGAAAATTAAAACAGCTTCTAAAAAATAAATAAGTCACATATTTTGGGCTTTAAAACAATAAAATCTAAAAATTAAATGAAATAAAAAAAGAACAAAAATAATATAAAAAAATAAGTTCCTAACAAATACATATGTATATATTTTCTTTTTAAAACAAAATCTCAGTATTACTATAAAAAATAAAATAAAAAATGATCTAAAAAAGAAGAAAAAAATATGTTTTCAATAAATAAATGAAATTAAAAAATGTGTTCGTGTTAAAGCAATAAAATCAGAAAAAAAAAAATATTGAAAAAAGAGAAACTAAGAGAAGCCTCGCTACCTATGTTAGCCAGAACTGCCCTGTAAGTGTGGCCAACGCTAAACAATCACACAGAATAAAGGAAGAGCTTTGGAGGCGAGTAAAATTATAAGGGGGTAATATTCCAAGCGAAGTCATAGAAAACTCAGTGGAGAGCATTCCCAGACGTATGAAAATCGCTATTAAAAGCAAGGGAGTCTCCACAATCCTCTTGATATATACCTCCTAAAATCTCAAAACAGAAAAGTTCACAACTGAGTGAATAGAGTTGCCTTGCGTTTTTGCTGTGAATCGCTTGTTTCTTTTTTAAGTTTAACTTTTCTGTATACTAGGCTTTATTCCTTAGATAATAAGGACAAACTGCTGAAAATTTCAAAGCAATCTGTTTATTATTAAAAAAGTGATGTTACTGTAAGTAATAAAATGTCGAACATGCACTCAGTTTAGATCGCCAGTGTATTTATGTATATATATAAGCTACTATTGTCGCAATTATTTTCAAAAGAAAGCCCAAAAAATTAAATAAATATTTGAATAACATACAACAAATAAGTTTAACTGAACAAATGTTGCACATAATTTCTATATAAATGCCTACAATTTGCATGTGGGTCCAACCAGACTCATGCGTACCGAAGGTGACAATCGAAACATGTGTCTGACGGAGAGTTAACTACCGCTGGCCACCATACCAAGACTCCATTCATGTTAATGATTTAATGACTAATAACCAGGGAACGGATTTTTAGGACCAAAAAACCTATAAAAAAGGCAAAATAAAATAACGAAATAGGCTGGAAAAGGCAAAATAAAATAGTGAAAAAGGCAGGAAAAGGCACTAGGTGTTGCAAAAAGGCAAAACAAAATAGCGAAAAAGGCAGGAAAGGGCACTAAAAAAAAGACAGAAAATACGAAGAAAAATCAAAAAATACATTTATATTAGAAATGTTTATATTACAAGTAAAAAGAGAAAAACTATGAACTAATTTCATTATATGAAAAGTTTGTACTTAGAATCTTTGACTATTTTATCCTTTCGAGTTTCTAACTCATAAAACTTTAATCTGTATAGTTCTAGTAACATTGAACCACAAGATGCATTTTGAAGTTTTCTGGCAGCATTTTCATTAGATTTTCGCGAAGAAAAGCCTTGAATGTACTAAATGTGTGCTCGACGTAAGTTGATACAAGTGGAGCCCAATTTAAATATGGAACGTTTGAAACGTTCATATTATCAGAAATAAGGGCGTTTTCCTCGCCATTTACAATTTGATCCACACCCCTTATTGTCTCCAAACCTACGTTAGCTGAGAAAAAGGCTTTCAATTTTTCCTACACCAATTTGGCAAGAGGTCTCTGCGCTTCTATAAGCCGCATGGGTATGTGTATATTTTTTAATCTTAAAAAACAAAAATTGTAAATGCTATAATCACTTTTTTAAAGGTAGAAAAGGCAAAAAAGGCAAATATCTTAAAAAAGGCGAAAAAAGGCAACATCAAATGTGTATATATGGAATCAGGGAAAGCTAAATCGTGGACATTCTTAATCGAATATACTCTATCTCTTCAGCAGAAAAAAAAGGCAATTTCCATAAAATCCGTTCCCTGCTAATAAGTATCTCCTTATGGTCTTTTAATGGTTATTTTAATGGTCTCTCGCCTATTTCACTCATCGAGTTTGGATACTTATAACGGATGGTCATGGGAAAATCGTCAGCATAAGCTGTTTAGCTAGAAGCCCTATGCTTTTTATTAACCGTGTCGCAGCACGCCCTTTCTACGGTATAATGTCGACGCCTAAACATACATATATACATATGTCTGCGCATCTCTATGTACATACATATGTACGAACATGAAGCCAAAGTACATACATGGATGTAGTTATTACATTTCTTCTTTGTATCCGTACTATTTGTTCGTGTAAAATTACCGCACTGCGTCATTCTTTTTTGCCTTTATATGCACATTCGCATGAGCTTTTGCAATTAACCGTTTGCGCATCGAGAACGATAGGTTTATGTAGTTCTGAGCGCGCATAATTGAAGCTGTTAGCCGTCGTCAAGCAAAGAAGTAGGACACACTGCGGTAAGTAGTAACATCATTTTGTTTCGCATTAAAATTTGTAAATTGTTAATTTCCACTTAGAAATAAACCAGCCTTTGCGCCAATCCAGCCCGATTAAGGTTAAATTCGCAAGCGTTTTTATTAACTGAGAACGACGGTTAACATCTTTATTTCGCAGTAAATCGGCAAAATATCTTTGGAGTTTGCGTATACAGTAGCATCTACGCTCGTAGCAGTGGCAGTTTTCCTGCATAGGGTCTACAGCAGTTCGGAGCGACTTTGCCATACGTCGAACTTCGGCCTTAATACGTACTGACTTGTCATCGTGAATTGCCTGCAAGATGACACGCGATCCTCCACGCCGAGTCACTCGCTCAAATACGGAAAGCGACTCCAATGTCGACGCCGATGCAGCCGCAGGTGAAAGGAACACCACTGCAGTAAACCAGACTTCTGCCGCCGAAACATGTGTTACTGCGACCACCAGCGGAGCCCCAGCTAGGGGCGCTTCCGCAACATTCGTAGCTGCTAGTATCCCAGATGGTAGCGATACAGCTCCCACTGCGGCCGGATCCATTAAGGCCAGGCAGAGAGCCGAGTGAAGCCGCTCCTGCCGCTGTAGGAGCCACGAAGAATTTGCCAGCCAGGGAACCTAGCAACGCCGCTCCCACTGCTGCCGGAGCTATTAAGATCGTCACATCCAGGGAATCCAGAGACGCCGTTTCTGGTGCAGCCGGAACTGTTAAGGTTGCCCCAGCCAGGGAACCCAGTGTTGCCGCTCCCAATGCCACCGGGGCAATTAAGAAGGTTCCCGCATCCAAGACTGCCGCAGCTCCCACAAGCTCGTCGTCTATTGTCACATCTCGACAAGAAAGTGACCTTCTGGCCATGGAAAGACAAATCGCCCTGCTGGAAAGGGCTTTGAAGGAACGTGATATACAAAACGAGATTCTGAAAGTGGCGCTCCAGAATAACGGTGGTACCGGTAGTAGCGCAGCGTCTGTATGCGCTGACGTCGCCACACAGCGGTCGCCCGCGTTGCCATCGACGCAACCGTTATCCGTGCAGCCGGTAACTGTACATGCAAATACGGGACCAACATTCGCCGACATCCGCTATTCGCTTCCAGCCAGTACAGCTACTGTGTATAGCTCAGCCAACGGGACATCGGCCACTTGCAGCACCTCATCGATAGCAGGTAACCAATACGATGCTTCAACCGTTCCCGCCGGTGTACAAACCTCTCACCACTCATCCAATGTGACATTTCAACCCGTTTCTGCCAACATAAGTCAAGGGAATATGCAGTTCATGTCAAACGGCTCGATCATGCCAAGAAAAATTATTGATTTACCAGATTTCAGTGGAAGGGCTGAAGACTGGCCTATATTCCACACAGCCTTTGTGGAGTCAACTGCAGCTTACGGCTACAGCAACTTCGCAAATAACCAGAGGCTACGGAAGTGTTTAAAAGGCGAGGCGCGTGAAGTGGTGAAATCTCTGCTGATTCACCCCAGCAATATCAGCTGCATCATCGAACAGTTGCAATTCAGATTTGGTCGGCCGGAGCAACTTATACGCAGTCAGCTGGCCCAAGTACGTGAGATCGGCCCTATATCCGAAAATGCAGTCGGGAAACTGATTCCGTTTGCCACGAAGGTGAGGAACATTTGTGCTTTCCTTCAGTCTGCCAATGGTGAACATCAGCTTTCTAATCCGACACTCCTCGATGAGCTAACTTCCAAACTACCAACAAGCAAGCGAGTCGAGTGGGCTATGGTTGCTGCTAAAGTACAGCCTCGGGCTACAGTGATGCACTTCAGTGAATGGCTAAATTCACTTGCCAACGTGATCTGTACCATTTATGATGAAGAGCCCGGACGTGATTCGAAGCGCCGAGTAGTCCTGCACGTCGACCAAAAACAACAGATACGAAGGTGCCCAATATGCCAGGGCGCCCACAAAGCGTTTGAGTGCAAATGCTTCATTGATGCAACAGTGGCAGACCGATGGAGGGAGGCCAAATCACGACGCTTATGCTTCGCGTGCCTTCACGCTGGTCACGCTACACGAGATTGCCATCGACGAAAACAATGCGCTATCAATGGATGCCCCAGAATGCACCATAAACTGCTACACGAGGCCTCCAACAACAACACGCAGCCAGCACCATCTCCAAGTAACGCAAGGGACGCAGAAGCGCAGTCAGCGCAACGTCAACAACACGATAGCAGCCACTCGTCAACTCAACGAGTACTCCAACGCCAGCCTGCGAACGACGCAGAAGCCGCTGTCCTCAGCTGCTCCGCTGACGTATGTGAAGGAAGACTTCTCTTTCGTATTCTTCCAGTCACTTTGCATGGAAGAAACAAGCGCGTCGATACATATGCACTGCTGGACGAAGGTTCCTCAGTCACGATGCTAGATGAGGCACTCGCCCAAGAGCTGGGTCTGCATGGGAAACAACAGCGCCTCAGCATACAATGGGTTGGTGGACGGTCAGCCCAAGAGCCTTCAGTTGTGGTGGACTTATTTATAAATGGCCGTGGTATGGATAAAAAGCACAAGCTTCGGAACGTATATGCGGTGTCGAACCTACAGTTACCCTCGCAAAGCTTATCCAGAGCTGACTTGCACAGCGACGAAAAGTACTTGCGTCAGTTGCCGGTTCAGCCATACACCGGGGTGATGCCAAAACTTCTAATCGGCCTCGACCACTGCCACTTAGGTTTGCCATCAACTACGTTGAGGATGAGGGCAAATGGTCCGTTTGCCGCCAACACTGAACTGGGCTGGGTGGTGTTTGGGCCAACCAGCAAAAGCCTGTCAGCAAAGCCTTCGTGCCTACTAGTCAATAACGTGACGGATGAGTCGCTGCATGAGCTGGTTGAAAACTACTTCGCCGTTGAAAGTTTCGGGGTGCGGCCGTCACCGCCAATCGAAAGCGCATCAGACATTCGCGCAAGGTCTATTTTGAGTTCGGTCACACGCCGTGTTGGGGGCAGGTTTCAAACCGATCTCATCTGGAAGCGAGACGACGTCCATCTGCCTAACAGCTACTCCATGGCATTAAGGAGATTAGTGGGTGTCGAGAAGCGCATGGGTCGAGACGCAAACTTCGAAGCAGCGTATAAGGCAACGATGGAGTCATACATCGAAAAGCGTTATGCGCGTAAGCTTGAACCAGCGGAAGCATCGATGGTGACGTCTCGCACCTGGTACTTACCACATTTCGCTGTGGTGAACCCTAACAAGCCATCGAAGCTTCGAATGGTGTTTGACGCCGCGGCCGAGGTCAACGGAGTTTCTTTGAACTCTATGCTGCTAAAGGGTCCTCAAGAGTACCGGCCTCTGCCATCGATTCTCTTTCATTTCCGCGAAGGAGCAGTTGGCGTATCGGGTGACATTAAGGAAATGTTTCACCAGTTGGTGATGCAGCCTGAAGACAGATGCGCCCAGCGGTTTCTCTGGCGCGACGGTGACTCTCGAAGACAACCCAACGTGTACGAGATGTGCGTCATGACGTTTGGTGCCGTTTGCTCGCCATGCGCAGCGCACTACGTCAAGACGCGAAACGCACATGAACATCACCATAACTCCACAAGCCGAGCAATAAAAGCAATTCTGGACTACCACTACGTGGATGACTTCGTGGATAGCTTCGACACCCTTGAGGAAGCTATCTCCATCGCTCAAGAAGTTCGAGCTATCCACCTGGACGCCGGATTTGAGCTCCGGAATTTCACCTCCAATTCGCCAGAGGTACTTGCGGCTTTGGGTGGCGCTGCATCTACCAAACCGATTTCAAGCAAAGACGGCCTGGTGACTGAGAAGGTACTCGGTCTTTACTGGCAGCCGTCAACAGACAAGTTCAAATTTAACTTGCAATTTAACAAAGTCGACCCAGAGCGCCCAACCAAACGGGAACTCCTTAGCGTGGTCATGTCGGTTTTCGACCCGCTAGGTTTTCTAAGCCACTTCGTTATCGGCGCTAAATTGCTTATGAGAGAGGTGTGGAAACAAAATAAGCGCTGGGATGAACCACTGCCCGGCAACGCTGTAACTGTGTGGGGACGATGGCGTAGTCAATTGCCAGCCGTCACCGAGTACGCCGTTCCCAGATTCTACTTCGGCAATGGTAAGCTACAATATCTACAGCTCCACATCTTTGTTGACGCCAGCGAAGACGCCTTTGCCGCTGTCGCTTACTGGAGAGCGACCAACTGCCAGAACGAGGTGAGTGCCAGCTTCGGCTGCGCGAAAAATAAGTGCGCTCCTCTGAAACCGCTCACGGTACCGCGGCTAGAACGCGGTACAAGCTGTTTGTGCAGCACCACGTGGCTGAAATATTGGCCGCCACAAACGCCTCGAACTGGAAGTGGATACCTACTGCAGAGAACGTAGCCGACGAAGCCACGCGTTTCAGCAGTGAAGCTGACTTCACCCCAACTGGTCGCTGGAGTCAGGGACCGACTTTTCTATGCCGAGAAGAAGGGTACTGGCCTAATGATGCAATCTTCGCCACTCATCATGACGTACACGACGAGGAGCTCCGACCTAAATACGCCATGGTCATCGTAAGTAATAATTTCATAGATTTCACACGCTTTTCCACATTCAACAGACTGGTGCGGACGACAGCTTGGGTTCTCCACTTTATCGGTCTTTGCCGCCATCGCAACTCAGCCGAGCGTCGCTATGGGCTGACAGCAGTTGACGTCGAAGCAGCGAAATTACTTTTATGCCGTCTAGTATAAAATGAGCATTTTGGTCCAGAGATCCAGCAACTTAAAGAAGGGCGAGATGTCGCTACAGCTCACTACGCCAACTCTCGCCGTATATCGATGAGGAAGGTACTCTTCGCGTTCATGGACGCATTGATTCAGCCAGCTGGCTTCCAATGAGTACAAGACGCCCTATCATTTTGCCGCCTAAGCACGCTTTAACCAAGCTGGTCGTAGCTCACCACCACAAGCTGATGCGCCACCAGAACACCGAGGCTACAATCTGCGCCGTACGTCAAACATACTGGGTACCTCGACTACGTAGCCTGTTACGAAGCGTTATTTCCAGCTGTCAAGTGTGCCGCCTCAATAAAGCTGCCCCAGTCGCGCCACTAATGGGGCCTCTGCCAGTCGATAGGCTTACCGCGTACGTGAGGCCATTCAGTTACTCGGGCCTGGACTACTTCGGGCCGCTCACAGTAACAGTTCGCCGAAGCACAGAAAAGCGATGGGTGGCGCTCTTCACCTGCCTCACTGTGCGAGCCGTCCACCTGGAACTAGCCCACGATCTGAGCACAGATTCGTGTATAATTGCAATCCGCAATTTTATCAATCGACGCGGAGTACCAGTTCGAATAAGGTCCGACAACGCCAAGAACTTTGTCGGGGCAAACAATGAAGCTAGGCGCTTCAATGAAGTTTTTGATGGTCAGCGCGTGCAGGATGAACTAACGCAAAGAGGCGTCGACTGGGTGTTCAACGCGCCCTTCAATCCTGCCGAAGGTGGTGCCTGGGAAAGGATGGTGCAGTCGGTCAAGCGAGTACTGCGTCACACGCTTAAAGAAGTAGCGCCCCGAGAACACACCCTCAATTGCTTCCTCATTGAGGCGGAAAACGTCATAAATTCGCGCCCACTAACGCATCTCCCTATCTCCGTTAACCAGGAGCAGCCGTTGACTCCGAACGACTTTCTGCTGGGAGCTCCTAACATAGCACCGACGCCGATCACAACAGAAGTCATAGAGGGCACGTTCGTCTTGCGCCAACAGTGGCGCGTCGCGCGCCAATTAAGGGATCACTTCTGGAAGCGGTGGATATCCGAGTATCTGCCCACATTGACGCGGCGAGTTAAGTGGTGTGAGAAAAGTACGCCGTTAAAGGAGGGCGATCTAGTTTTTATTTGCGACCCTAACGTGCCGCGGAGGGAATGATGTCGTGGCAAAGTGGAGCAACTGTATCCTGGACGCGATGGCGAAATCAGGCATGTAGATGTCCGAACCGCCGCCGGAATGAAACGGCGTGCCGTTTCCAAGCTTGCTATCTTGGACGTGGAAGACGGTGAATCGGACCGATTCACGGGGGCGGGGATGTCGCAGCACGCCCTTTCTACGGTATAATGTCGACGCCTAAACATACATATGTACATATGTCTGCGCATCTCTATGTACATACAT